ATTAAGAAATGGAATGAAGGTAGTGTTGACCTCCGGGCAAGATCCCACCCAGGTAAATTTCCAACTTGTGAAAAGGAACCAAAGAAAAGCTTAGAGCTGGGTGTGATGGAGCATACCTTTAATCCCAGCACTGCAAAGGCAGAGGCTGGTGGATTTCTGAGTTTAAGGCCAGCCTGGGCCACAGAGCAAGTTTCAAGACAGCCAAGCTTAGGCAGTGAAGGATAGAAAGATGTAATTGAATGAGGGGCCATGTTCGAGTCCCAGCAAGCAGCAGAACTTGGCAGCTTCAGCCATATGGTTTTGGCTTTAGAGTTAAGAATAGAAGAAAGTGGTTAAGGAATTTGTCTCTGAGACTAAGACAAGTGTTGAGGCCAGCATGTGTCCGGGGTGTCCCTGAATGGAGGCCCAGAGCGGCCAAAGCATGAAGCTATGAAGAACCCTAGACTGCCTTGAAGACCCCAAGATGCTGGAGATGCCAGAGCGGGGGATACCTGCTGAGGAGAGCTGCTAACAGGGATGGAAGCAGCCCAAGAGAAAGAAGTGTGCTGAAGTCAGCAAAGCTGAAAGGAGTGGAGATCTGGAGAGCATGTGACATCAGACATGGAGATGCAGGGTTTGGAGTTTGCCCAGTTGGTTTTTGGTCTTGCTTTGGTACAGTATTTCCTCACTATGCTCCTTTCCTGCATTTTGGAATGGTAATGTGTATCCTATGCCATTATATGTTGGAAGAATGTGATTTTTTTTACTTTGATTTTGTAGTGGATTACAGTTAAGAGATTGCATAAATCTCAGAAGAGACTTTGAACTTTGGACTTTTAACATTGTTGAGACTGTGATAAATTTTGAATATGGACTAAATGCATTTTATATCATGATGTTGTTACAAACTTATGGGGGCCAGGGAGTGGAATGTGGGAGTTTGAATGTAATTGGCTCCCATAAGCTCATAGGGAGTGGCACTATTAGGAGGTGTGACTTTGTTGGAGTAGGTTTGGCTTTGTTGGAGGAAGCCTGTCACTGTGGGGATAGACTTTGAGTTCTTCTATGACTATCCAGTGTCACAGTCCCTTTCCTGTTGTCTGCAAGGTGCAGGACTCCCAGCTACTTCAGCTACTTCTCTAGCACCATCCTGCTCCTCACCACGACGATAATGGGCTGAACCTCTGACGCTGTAAGTGAACCACCCCAACTAAAGGTTTCCTCATAAGAGTTGCCATGGTCATGGTGTCTGCTTCACAGTAATAGAAACCCTGACAAGACAGTTTCTATGTGTAACTGCCCAGCCTGTCCTGGAACTCACTCTGTAGACCAGGTTGGCCTCGAACTCACAGAGATCCGTCTGCCTCTGCCTCCTGAGTGCTGGGATTAAAGGTGTGTACCATCACTGCCTGGCCCCCAACTATCATTATATTCTCTTTGCCAAGCACTCCCCCACCCCACTGAAATGTGCTTTCTCACATTCTTCTTTTTCTTCTGGCAACTTCTTTTCCTGAAGTGGTTAGGGCACTTTTTCTGAGGGTCTAATGTCACTTGAAACTTCTGTGGATTCACTGATAAGTACTCAAGACTGACAACCCCTTAAATAAAGTATCTCCTTTCCTATGGACAATTCTAATTGTCAGCTTTTTCTACAACTGAGTCAGGTTCAAGTCCACCCAGAGCTCTCAGGAGGACTCTCCGGTTCCTCTCCTGGCAGCCACGTGGCTAATCTGCTTATATCCTGCCAGTGAATTCCCAGTCAGGCTGGAAGGGTTCCTACCCCACTCAAGATGGAACACAGGAGGCTGGAGAGATGATTCAGCAGTGAAGAGAATGCACAGCTCTTGCAGAGGACCCAGATTTGTTTCCCAGCAAGTACAAGACAGCTCACAACTCTCTGTAATTCCAGCTCCATCAATCCAGTGTCCTTTTCTGGCCCCTGAGCACACTGCACACACACAGTACACAGATATACATGCAGGCAAAGCACACATACACATGAATAACAGAATAAGAACACAGGGTCAGTTCCACCAAAGTCAAAGCCACATTTCTGTTTGCTAGTCGTGTGACGCTTGAGGATGCTTGTTGTTTCCACCCAGCTCATCCTCTGAGTAATGACTTACCTAACACCTGCCTTGTTGGGTAATGGAAGGCACGGAGAAGAACAGCAGACCTATTCACAGGAAGCCTTTCATGTTTACTGTTTTCTACACAGACAAGCTTAGGAGTTGACAGACCTTGTGCTAGAAAGTAGGGGCAAGTAGAAAAGTGTAAAATATAGGACAGTCTCTATTTACAATGTTGTTGGAGAGAAAACACAGGTTATGAAGACTGGTGGCAAATAGAAAGGTGAACCCAAACAGAAGCTGCTGAGGTGTTTGCGGCTGACAGGAGTGGGTATGGAAAAGATGGAGGGGTGTTTGTCCCTCTTCCCATCCTCAGCTTTCCAATATGCCAAAGTCCCAGCTCTAGTCAGCGTTCACAGTATTCATGTCTGCATCTCATTCTCAGGTCTCCTGTAGAGATGTCTCCCCATCTGCTCATGCTGGGCAGATGGCCAGTCCTGTCTTCCATCTTCTCTCCTTCAGCCCTGCTGATACCCCCTCCTCTTCCTCTCCTTCCTACCCCTCTCCCTTCCCTCACTACCCTTCTGCTTTGAGAGTCTATGTATTCCAGACTGGCTTTGCACCTGTGATCTCCCAGTTTCCCACCCCTAAGTAGGAGAATTCCAGGAGTGTACTACTTCCCCGGCATCGTCCCGGGTTTCTAACTACCCACCCTGCTTATTCTGCCTCTGAAGGTGTTCTCCACCCTTTCCTTAGCACACATCCTCAGTGTATAATTTCTTTTTTATTTTCTCAGACAAGGTCTTTTGGTTTGGCATTTTTTTCCAGACAGTTTTTCTGTATATCCCTGGCTGTCCTGGAGATCACTGTGTAGACCAGCCTGGCCTCAAACTCAGAGATCCGCCTGCCTCTGCCTCCTGAGTGCTGGGATTAAAGGGTCTTAACTTTGTAGATCAGGCTATACTCAAACTCAGAGATTGCCAACATCTGTTGCCCTTTTTCCTCCTCCTCCCTCTTCCTCCTCCTCCTCCTCCTTTTTTGTGTTTTGAGACAGGTTTCTTTGTGTAGACTTGGCTGTCCCAGAACTCATTCTGTAGACCAGGCTGGCTTCAAACGGGCGTGCACTTGCCTCTGCCTCCTGAATGCTGGGATTAAAGGTGTGAGCCATCAATGCCCTGGTGCCACGAATAGCCACATAAGGCCCAAAAGTTCAGAGTCAGTCACAGCTTCATGGTGACTACAGTCTGGGGTAGGCTAGGCAGGATGCAGAGATGCGGATGCCCTACTGGACGCTGCCTGCGTTGGAGCCATGTGCTGAGCTGAACTGTGCAGCGGCTGACATGGCTGTTTAAGGTTATCTCACAGGTGAGAGAGTGCTGCAAGTGCTCTGTGAATACAGATCCAGATGCAGAAAATCTCTAAACAGTTACAGTGTGCCTAAAATGTGCTGGGCTTAATAAAAAGAAGAAAATGTATAGACAGTCACAGAAAAATTAGCTTATAAATAATGAGATAAAGTCTTTATAGGAAGAATAAAATAATATAAAAAAGTATAAGCCATGTGAAGATGGAAAGTACACAAAGAATCTGGATCCTATTCGGTGACTTTTTGACTTTAACTTTTTCGATTGCTGAGGAGCCAACAACAGCTGCTGAGAGATGTGGGCGTGGGAGAGGGACTGCTGAACTAACCCAGTCCAGACGCTTTAGGAGCCTAACTTCATGGAATTAAAAAAAAACGTATTCAGTTGGGGAAGAGGTTATGGATTCCATTCAAGGTTAAAGAGAATCAGGTTTGATCAGGGGAAATGGCCTGAAATCATGACTACAGATATAAAGAAATACGCCTAGAAAAACTAAAAAACAGAGCAAGGGACCAGATAGCAATGAAAATGGGTGGCCCAGGTTATCCAGCCTCTCAGAGTGCCTGTGTTGCAGCTTCCTCAGAGTTTTGCATCTGGAACAGCTTCAAGGCTGCTGGCTGAGATGGCTCAGCCTTACAGACTATTCCAGCCAGGATTTCAGGCAAGCCTTACACTTGCCCATTACACAGACACATGACAACAAATGATACAGCTAGCTCTCCCAGACCATTATCCTGTTTTTCCCCAGAGTCCCCTAAAGATGCCAGTGTCCGCAGACAACTGGAAAGTCTAGAGAACATAAAGCTCACATTCCTAAGAAATGGGGTGGGTGGTTTTAATCATTTGGTGGGTTATGGATGTTTGTCATTTTTTAGAGTGGTTGGTTACAAGTTGTTATTGGTCATGGTCAGGAAAAAGCTAATCAAAGGAGATTAGATTCAGGGATGTTCTTCTGAAAAAAAAAAGGGGGGGATATAAAGATGACAGGATTAAAAGGGTAAATTATTGAATCTACTTTTTTGTTTTTTTGTTTGCTTGTTTTTCGAGACAGGGTTTCTCTGTGGCTTTGGAGAATGTCCTGGAGCTAGTTCTTGTAGACCAGTCTCGAACTCACAGAGATCTGCCTGCCTCTGCCTCACGAGTGCTGGGATTAAAGGTGTGCACCACCACCGCCCAGCTGAATCTACTTTTAAACTAAAAAAGCAACTACTAGACTTAAATATTGTACATAAAAATATTTTATTTATTTATTGTGTATACAGTATTTTGCCTGCATGCCAGCAGAGGACACCAGATCTCATTCAAGGTGGTTGTGAGCCACCATGTGGTTGCCAGGAATTGAACTCAGGACCTCTGGAAGAACAGTCAGTGCTCTTAACCGCTGAGCCGTCTCTCCAGCCCCTATTGATGTAAATTTAAGATTATTTTTGTTATACTATATGTATATTTCTACTCTTGTTTAAGGTGTTTTTATATATTGATATAAATTTAAGGTTATTTTTGTTAGAATATACTGTAAATATGTTTCTACTCTTGTTTAAGATATTTTTGTATATTAAGACAAATTTAAAGTTTTTTTTTTTTTTTTTTTTTTTTTTTTTGCCTCTCCACAGCCTTTATTGGGCAGCTGCTCAGCCGGGCTCCATAGGGCGCCCGAGGCTGGGTGTCGCTCAGAGCGGGCACCCTCTGGATTGCCCAGGGTGACCGATGGTGCAGCCAGGAGGGCCCCAGGCCGGCCTGGCTGGGGGAGGACGCTGGAGCTGGACAGGCTGGACTCGGGCTCCCTCCATCACTTGGGCGCGTTGAAGGGCAACACGCGCTGGTTCATGGGGTTGTCGGGGGAGCGCAGCCACTCTTTCTTCAGCAGCTGCTTCAGCTGCGACAGCCGCATGTTGGGGTTCTCCTGCTTCAGCCGCGGCAGCTGTACCTCCTCGAACGCGGTGAAGGCTGCGCGCATACGGCGCTCGGGGTGCCGGTCTGCGTCCTCTGCCACACTGAGCACGGCTATGGCATCCTCTACAGTGCGCGCTTCCAGGCTGCCCTCCTCCTGCACGCGCCGGTTCAGGTTCTCCTCCAGCGGCAGCTCCAGGTGGGTCTTGGCCTTCTCCGCTGGCTCGGCACGCTGCTCTCTGCGCAGGGAGTCCTCAATCTGCGCGCGCGTGACCTTGGGGGGTGCCACACGAGGGGCCTTGCCACCCTTGAGCCGTGAGCCCTCCTCCTCCAGCAGGCGCTGCGTCTCCTTCTTGCGCTCCAACTGCTCCAGGCGTCGCTTCTCCTTCTCCTCCTTGCGTTGCTCCTTCCGCATCACGTGTTTGTCGTCATCCTTCCAGTAAGCATCTTCCAGCTCCTTCTGTTTCTTGGCATCAGCTGCCGCCTTGGCCTCGGCCCTCCGCGCTCGGGCAGCTGCCGACTTGCTGTTCTCGCCCTGGAACTTCTTGGGCATCCCTCAGCAGGCTCTTCCCCCGGCACCAGCCCGGTCCTAAAGTTTTGTTTTTTTGAGACAGGGATCCTCTGTATTGTTTTGGAGGCTGTCCTGGAACTCGCTCTTGTAGACCAGACGGATCTCTGTGAGTTTGAGACCAGCCTGGTCTACAAAAGCTATTTCCAGGGCAGCCTCCAAAGCCACAGAGAAACCCTGCCTCAAAAAACCAAAAAAAAAAAAAAGATGTTTTAATAACAGAAGACTTTTCATGGGAGTGAGACATGTCTGCTTGCTCCTGGCAGCACCAGTTTACTTCAAAAAAGGGTGGTAGGCATCAAAGAACCTTCATATGGAGTTTGCTTTCTTTGTGGCAAAAGCTAGCCACTGGGCAAGAAAACTGCCCTTACCTTGACTGCTGACAACATGCTGTCCAAATTGCCCACTCAGGACACAAGAGTATCCGCTTCACTTTGCCAAGACAAGGTAAAACAGTCCTTCAACATCCCTGTTTCACACATGAAGCATGTGTGGTGTTCAGGCGACAACTTTCAGTAGTCTTTTCTCTCCTACCCAGGGATTGAATTCAGACCGCTAGGCTTGGTGGCATTTGCCTTTACCTGCTCAGCCACATCACTGGCCCATCAGAACATCATTTCTAAAGTGCTGCGGTACCTTTTGACTGATTTTTTTGTTTCATTTTTGAGGCAGGGTCTCACTGTGCAGCATTGGCTATCCTGGACCACCCCCCGCCCCATGTGGACCAGGCTGACCTTGAACTCACAGAGTTCTGCATTCCTTAGTGTGCACAACTACACTCGGACTTATAGAACCTGTGGACTACCCTGAAGACTGCAACCCTCATCTTCTGGTGTTCTTTAGTGTTGGAGGGGCTTTTCTCATTCTGTTGTCTCATAACTGTCTCAGGGCCAGGGGCACAATCCTTGTTCTGGCAGAGAACAATGATAGCAGCTACAAGGTTCTCATGGTCTGCTCTACTTTTCTTCTCAGCTCTCCATTGCTTTTTAGTGGCAAGGAATCACCAGTGTTTCTCAGAGGAGGCTGCCTTCCCTCTTACCAATGGCTTTTAAACATGCTGCTTCCTTTGCACAGCATATCCATCTTGTTTAAGCATCTTTATTATTTTTTTAAAGATTTATTTATTTATTTATTTATTAATTATATATGCAGACAGGCCAGAAGAGGGCACCAGATCTCATTACAGATGGTTGTGAGCCACCATGTGGGTTGCTGGGGATTGAACTCAGGACCTCTGGAAGAACAACCAATGCTCTTAACCACTGAGCCATCTCTCCAGCCCTTGTTTAAGCATCTTTAAGATACCACTCAAGTGCCATTTCCTGTGGGACATCTTGGACCCGTCTCCCTCCGGGTTAGATACCTTCCTGAGGGTTTCCAATTCATGCTGTATGATAATTGTCTGTCTCTCTGCTAGTCTTGAGTCCCTATGTATGAGAACCCAAGCACAGCACACCCTTGTGTCAGCAGATCTGGGAAAGGAACCACCCGCAGCAGGGACCTCCTGTGAAATGGCTGGAGTAAGCACCTGGGTGTGGCTTTGGCTCCTTGCCAAAGACAGTATGCCATCTCTGGGATCCCAGCTATCTGGGAGGATAAGACTAGAGGATCACTTGAGACCAGAAGTTCTAGATCAGTCTGGGCAACATAGCAACACACTATCTCAAAAGGAAGGGTAAGGAAGGAAAGGAGGGAGGGAGGAAAGGAATGTGATTCCATAGCCAATCTATGTCCGTTAAGTGTTTCATTCATTTAGCGCTTCTTAGTCAAGGTTTGCTGAATGGACACAGGTCACTGAGAGATCAATCAGCAGTTTATGGTTAGCTTGAATACAAGGTGTATGCTGATGCTGGTTACCAAGACTGGGAAGATGGATTAGCGGATTAGAGTCCTGCTTTGGCCAGGTGAGGTTGAGATGGTTATAGGATCCTGGTTGTCAACACAGGGACTAAACTAGTGAGGGTCTAGTGCTGGGATCAAAGATTTTTGACCTCATGTGGAGGAGGCAGCAAACACAATGATGTCTCTGGGACTCAACAAACTGAGTCAAGTGTAAATCACTTGGCAGAGGCCTGGATCAAAGACAATGTCCTGGGAGAGGTTGTGTGCATGTGTGTGTGCGTGTGCGTGTGTGTGTATGTGTGCGTGCATGTGTGTGTGGTGTGTGTGAGTGCGGTGTGCGTATGTGTGTGCGTGTGTGTGCATGTGCGTGTGTGATTACTAACTGTGGTTCTTCATCAGTGATGAGGCAGAGATATCTCAAGGTCTAAGCCAGCAGTGTTGTATCCTGTTTGACAGGAGAAACCATTCCTGCACATCTTGGTGTTCCCTTGTAGGAGGTGGGCAGGAAGGGTCAGTGGACCCCAGTGAATGCATTTGAGAGGAGGTATGGGCAGATCCCAAGTTCCTGTCTCAGGCCAGGTGCTGAGGTAGGGCCTGGGAGGCAGGAAGAGTGTTCCTTGCCTAAGTAGATGGTCAAGTCTACCCTTGATTCAGCAGCCCAGGGTTATAAGGAAAACAGCCTGAAATGGCAAGGCTGTGAAGTGACAGTAGCTCTGTTGATGGGTTCTGCTCACAGGTCTTACTTTGCTGTGGCCTTTCTAGTTCACAGAGCCGTGAGGAGGTTAGAGAACTCTGTGAAGTCAGTTCTCAACTTCTGTTTTTATTTTATTTTATTTTTTTGGTTTTTTGAGACAGGGTTTCTCTGTATTGTTTAGGAGCCTGTCCTGGAACTCGCTCGGTAGACCAGGCTTGGTCTCGAACTCACAGAGATCCACTTGCCTCTGCCTCCCGAGTGCTGGGATTAAAGGCGTGCGCCACCAACGCCCGGCTGTCTGTCTGTCTTTTGAGATAGGGTTTCTCTGTGGCTTTGGAGCCTGACCTGGAACTCACTCTGTAGACCAGGTTGGCCTTGAACTCACAGAGATCCACCTGCCTCTGCCTCCTGAGTGTGAGTGCCACACTGGCCCAGCTTTTTCTCATTTTTTTCAAGACAGGGTTTCATTGTGTGTAGCCTTAGCTGTCCTGGAACTCACTTTGTAGACCAAGCTGCCCTTGAACTCAGACATCACCTGCCTCTGCCTCCTGAATGTTGGGATTAAAGGCGTGTGCCACCATTGCCTGGCTTGTCAGAGCACTTTATCACAGCAATGGGAAACAAAACTAGGACACTGGCTACTGGTTCCCATCTCAGATCAAGGGCCAACAGGAAAGTAACAGTGGATCCAGCTTCCAAAACATCCACCAGCCAAAGCAAGGACACTTGGACTCAGAAGGGAGGAATGTGCCACTGTGTGCTGCTGCCTTGGGAGTTGAGTTTTGGGAAAAAATGGGATCTGACATGAGAACAGCACCTACCCTTTTGCTTGCTTCATACTGGGTAGCCACCTTCATCTGTTTCCACAATGAAGGGACACTAGAAGTATACTCCTTTCCACCTGTGCTTCTGGCTTATTCTGTCTGCTGAGGGTGGGTGGTTACAGTAACAGAATGAGGGGCAGAAGCCCAAGGCAGTTGGTAAGAAATCACCAGTTTATTGAATGAAAAAAAATCCAACATGGCCCCAGCTTCCCACCCCACTTATTCTCAGGCCCAGGAGACACTCTGGACAGTAGGGCTGGGCAGTGGAGAAGGACTTGAAGAGTCTGGGGTGTGGAGAATGAGAAAAATATGTCCCAAGTGCAGTTTCGTGCCACACTGCTCAGAAGCAGTGAGAGGGAAAGAGACAAGTTCCAGAGATGCCAGAGGACATGGAAGCTGGGCCAGCTCTGCCCCTCTCAGCCTCCCCTGCAGACATTGAGGCGGCTGAGAGGGAAGAAGACCTGGTGAAGATGGGCATCCTTCTGCTGCCCTGCCATAGAGGAAGTGGGAAGACAGAGCAGGAACGGGAGGCAAGCTGACACAGGAAAAGGGAGACATGGCTGGATAAGAGCCACAGATAATGTGTATGTTGGGGGGCAGGGTTTGCTGCCTCCTACCTCACAAAGCAACAGAGCTATCTTAGGTGGGAGGCCAGGAGGCAAAGGGAGGAAGGAGCCTCAAGGACAGGACCTGTACATAAGGCAAGTTACCCAAACAACTGGAAAACAAAACAAACAAAACAACAACAAAACACCACTTAGGACACAGAGACTTGAGTTAGCAGGAAATCATGCATGTGAAGAGACTGGGAAGCCCCTCTATCCCAGAAACACCAGGATGATCAGGTGTACCCAACTCTACTGGGAAACTGTAGGGCTGGCGAGGTCACAGGAATGGTAGGAGGCCCCAGCCCTGTAACAGTTGTCATCGTTATGTAGGGGAAGGCAGGGTGTGTAGCAACCAACAGAAGAGCCTTGGAAATTGAGAGCCTGGTGGCCAGGCTCTGGTAAAGTGCTGGGCTGTCTCACTGTGCACAGAACTCCAGGGTTTTCATTTCCAGAAAGGGAACCAGTGCTGCAGGGGGTGAGTGAGGTGATGGAAGGTCCAGATTATTCAATTATAGGGATATGGGCACCAGAAGGCAGAACCACCCAGCTCTGGGCCTGGAACAGTAGGGAGGAGGGAGTCCAGAGATGAGCAGGGCAGTGAGAAGAGAGGGCTGCATCCCCAGTGGCAGTGTCCTTCAGGACTGGGCATGTAGAGGCAGGCCCCAGTGCTGGGAAAGGGAGGCTGGGCTGGGGCTTGCTGGCCTTTCCCTGCCTGCAGGTGGTGAGGCTGGGTGGCAGTGCCAGGAGGGAGTGGTTGGGAGGCAGGGCCTCAGGTAGTCTTGCTGCCACTGAAGAGGCCCACTGGAAAGTGCTTGACATGAGTGGGCCACTGGGCAGCCAGCTGGAAGAACTTGATGTCACTCCACTCAACTCCATCGATGGACACTGGGGTGACACAGAAGAGAAAGGTTAGGGGTTAACTAAAAGCCACCTCCCTGTCCCTCAGGGAGGATGTGGCTCCCTCCCTCACCCTGCTGTCACCACCATTGTACCTCTCAGCATGGTCTGTTGTTGCTTTGCAGAGCAGATGAGGCGGCTGATGCCCTCAATGACCTGGCTCTTAGAATCCAC